GCCAGGTGATCGACAGGCGGCACAGGCGGCGCGGGGGCCTTTCGCCCACCTGCACGTCCTCTCGCGAGCTCTCGGTCGCGAGGCCTGCTTCGCCGTCCCCCGCCGCTGGTTTGGCCGCCGCCGGCGGAAGTGCCCGCGCTGCCTCGCGGCCCAGCCGGCGTTGGTGCTTTTTGTCATTTGAACCCGAGTGGTTTCCGGGCTAGAGCAGGAGCTTTGGAATTAAACTTAGCTTGTATCTGTGACCTTGGGCTCGTTACTAGCCACATCCCTGAGCCTCGCTAGTCGTCTCTGTAAAAGGGGGATAGAAATGGCAACCTTCCAGAGTTGTCTTGAGAGAATTATTACGCAAAGCACTTTGTACTGTTCCCAGCACAAGTGCCCAATAAATACCAATATTATTTTAAAAATAGGACACTTTCCTTCAATAGAAGCAGTGTGGAAAGTGGAGAAGCCTGGAGCTTTGAAGCGAGATTAGGCTTGACATCGACTAAATTACTTGACCAATTTAACTTGCTTTCTAACTTGTAAAATTAGAATAACTTCTCCCATCTCAGTGGATACCGGGGTAGCTGAGTGGGGCGGTGTACGTGGGAGAGCTTGGGACAGCGTCTGGACCGTGGGAGCGCTCTAAAGGCCGGGTCCCTTCTCTCTAACCCAGTGTACCTAGAACCACAAGGAGGTATTTTTCTTTTTCCTGTTTGTATTTATGTTTTAAATTATATTTAGAAAGGATAATTCATTAACTGATTGAAGTGATACACAGTGAAAAGTCTTACCATCCTCTGGCTGCCTAGTTTCCCTCCCCAGAGACTATCAGTGTAATCAGTTTCATAAATGTCCTTCGGAGGTATTTTGCACACATAAAGCAAATAGCAGTGTACTGTACATACAGGTCGGCACTTAATATATTTTAAAAATCATTCCATAAGAGTACAGAAGGAGCATCCTCAGGACTATTTTTATGGCTCATACCATTTTATACACAGTAATTTATTAATCAGTGCCCTAGTGAAGTACATTGAGATAAGTTCAAACCTTTTGTTATGTCTGTTGCAGTGACTAACTTTGTGTATATATGTATATATGTAGAATCTATTCCTAGAAGTACTCAAAGGGTGTGGGCAAATGTAGATTTGGTAGCTATTGCTCAATTCTCCATCTCCTCATCAACACCGTTATCAAACTTCATGATCTTTGTCAATCTGATAGCTAAAAAATGGTATCTTGGGTAGTGTAAATTGAAATTATCTTATTTTGAGTGGAGTGAGCCTTATTTCATATGTTTAAGAGACATATTTTACTTTCTGTGTCTATCTTTTGACAATTTTATGTTTTCATAGGAGCTCACAATATAATAGGGAAATCAGCTTTGTCAAATGAAGTGCAAATATTTTTCCCTAGTTTGATGACTTTTGACTTTGCCTAGTGTTTTTTGTCATGCAAAAACATTAGACATTTATGGGATCAAATTTATCCATTCTTTATTTTTCTTTGATTCTGGATTTTGTGTTGTAGTTTGAAAGGCCTTCCTCACTCTGTGTGTGTGTTTTTAAAAAATTTTTTAAAAAAACCTCCCATGGTTTATTCTGTTACTTTTAGGGCATATTTTTGCATTGCAATCTTTGATCCATTTGGAGTTTAGTAAAGCGTGAGGATCATAATATTCTTAAAAACTAGCACCGTCATATAATCTACTCAGCCTATTGTACAGATGGGAAAGAGCCCCACAGAGGGGAAATGCCTGTCTCCAAAATCTGTTCCTCCTCTGGAGTCCCCCAACTCCGCGAGGGGCACCTCTAACCAGCAAAGTGCCAAAGTTCAACCTTCAGCCACCACATTCGGTCTCTAATTTTAGTTTTTCCTCCTAAATATTCACAAATCTATTCACTTCTCTCCACTCCCACTAACTAAGCTAGTTCAGGCCTCATCATACTGTTCACACATCAGGGCTTTTAAGTGTGCTGCTCCCTGTCTGAATATGGCTGGCTCCTTAGACCTTCCTTCCCTACCTTGTCCTAAGTACACCCCCACCCCTACGCATACTATGATGCCACTTTTTTCTCGAACAGCAGTTATCACACTCTAATGACTTTATTTGCTCATTCACTGTCTTTCTCCTCCACTAGAATATAAGTCCCCTAGTATCAGGGGCCATGTGTTTTTGTCTCCTGCTTTACCCCTGGCACCTACAACAGGGCTTTTTCACATAATAGGTGTTCAAAAGATTTACTGAATGAATAAATGAATGATCTGGACTCCTTCAATGGCCTCCTGATTCTCCTTTTTTTTCCATACCTCCCCATGAGACGTAGACTCAGGGAAGTTTGAAGTCTTCTGATTGACATGTTAATTACCATTCAACAAAATCAAGGAGTCCTGAGAAAAAGGAGCTCAAGGCCAACTGTGGGGCCAAAAGAATTGGTACTGACTGATACGGTGACCAGACAGGGTCAGGGGACCTGGTGTCTGGTGGCAGCTCTGCTGCCTGCTGTGACCTTGAGCAACTCACCTTACCTCTCAACGTCTTCCTCTTCAGTAAAGTGGTGATATTAAAATCTCAATGATATAGGGAAGTTTTAAAAATCAAATGAAGATGCAGGTCAAAGTGCTTGTACACTGCAGAGGATTAGGGACACAGGGAAAACTTTCTTCCCTTTGGGGGGGGGGGCAGTGTCTCCCTCCCACTTACCTTCCCAGGAGTTTCCTGCCTTCAAATGAAGGCAGATGCTATTCCAGGACTAAGTCTCTCTTCTCTACTATCTCCAGCTGCTCTGGCTGGGCCCAGCATCCTACCCACATGCCAATAAGCATGTGGCTGGTGGACACTGCTGACAGCTTCCATGCACAAGGACAGGGACACCTGGCACACACAGGTTGATGCAAGAACCTTTTTCTTCTGGGCCTCAGTCTTTCCTTGAGGACAGCAGGCTTAATTATCTCATCTCCCAAGACACAAGACAGTCATCAATATGAGAGCAGTGGCTGTGATTGTCACAGGGTAGATGCTCCCAGAAGACACCACTGAAAGCCAGAGTCAGGAAGTTTCCGGGCTTCGGGTGTCTCCAAGCTTTGGTTTAGGGGGTTGTGCTGGATTGTCTTCTTTTAGTTTCCTGGAGCCAAAGGTTTCTCCGTTAGCCATTAAAAATTATATTGTTTACTTAGTGCGCCAGAAGAGCTGTCCCAACCCCTCAGAGAGGTTATTCCACCTGAAAATTAAAAACAATCTCCTGTACTTGCAAACTGTGAGAGAAATGATCCATTTTAAGTCAGATTCTCTTTTGACATTGTTTTGTCTCAGTCTTCTTTCCTCTGCTGGCCTCTTAAATGTTGGTAATCCCCATGTTGGTCTTCAAAAATTTAGGACGATTTTACTTATATAAAATTTAGAAGCATGGACATTTCAGATTTTATCTTTCTTTAGTGCCCTCCTTCTCCAAATTCTCCCTCAACCTGCTGCCAGAGGGATTTTTCTAAAGTACAGTTTGACCTTCTGGCTCAGAAAACTTTTCTTTACTGATAATGGGATAAAGTCCACATTCCTTAGCTGGGAATTACAAAACTGCCACCATGCACTTTTTCAGGTTCAGATTGATTGACTTGATTTCAATATAGATTGAATCATAGGATATGTAGCGGTTATGATTAGTTTCAGAGAAAGCCCAATCACTAGGGGATTAAATAACATAGAAGCTTATTGCTCATTTCATTTTTTTTAAAAAATTGATTTTTAGAGCGAGAGGGAAAGAAAGATTTGTTGTTCTACTTACTTATGCATTCATTGGTTGATTCTTGTATGTGCCCTGACCAGGGATCAAACCAGTAACCTTGGTGTGTTGGGATAACGCTCTATCCAACTGAGTTACCTGACCAGAGCCTAGAAGCTTATTTCCTAAGTAAAACTTATTTCTCAGGTCCTGAGGTGGGCAGTCAGGGCTTCTGGGTATCATGGACCCAGGCTCCTGTGATCTCATTGCTGTTCCATTCTTAACATGGTCAAAGATGGTTGTGCAAATTCCAGGGATCATGTCTGTTTCCCAGCCAGGAGGAAGGTGGAAGAAAAGTTCAGGACAGATGCCAGCTATATTTTAAAGAGGGTTCCTAAGAAACTGACACCTACCCCTCTGCTTACATGACAAGGGACAGATCTCATGTGCTGCAAGGGAGGCAGGGAAGCAGTGTTTATTCCAGTCTACTATGTGCCCACCTAAAAGTCATCAGTTTTGATTCTTAAGAGAATGGATATTAAGGGGAAAATCAGAAGATTCAGACATAAATGTCCTGCCTCTGTAACTTTGCTTAATCTGGTTCCTTAGTCTGTAATGCTTATCTCCCTTTCCTGAGGAAACAATAATTATCCATCAAAGCCCAACCCAAATGTCACCTCTAGGTCCCTAGAGGTCTGTTCTTAGGACATTTTGCCAGCCTCCAGGAGGTCTCTAACCAGGGTGTGAGGAACCTTACTCCTGCCTTTCTGCCTCTCGAGTCCACACTAGGGGTCTGCCTGCTCCTTCATGGCTGCAGGCTCATCATTCCCTCCAAGCCCAACAGTGTGGATGCCCCGAAGAACTTAATGTTCACTCCTACAGCCTTTGGGCAGCCCCTACTACCTCTCAGGCTTTTCCACTTGCCCACATGGGCCATCTATACAAATTGTCCCCTAGCCTTGAGGAGAGAGGACTGGGGAGAGGAGGGACTTGGATGAGTTGGAGCTGATTCTGAACCTAGGTGTATAAGGTGGCAAATCTTATCCAGAAGCACCTGCAGACAGACCTTTCCCAGCCCCAGGCTGAACCTGTGTGCTTTCTGCAGAGGACACACAAGATGCTCCCAAAGGCACAGGGTCATGCCAGGAGCCTGTGTACATGCTGGTGTGCAACTAAACCTGAGTGTACTCTGGCCTTCTGAGCATGTTTTCCACAATACACCTGGTCTTGAGGATAAGTCCTGACTTCATGACCCTTTCTGCTTTGACCCCTGTCTACCTTTCTCATCTGTCTTCCTTCATATTCCTCCTCAGGTCTTAGCAGTGGCTATACTTGCTTGTTGGCAGTTGCCCAAGTGCCAGGCTCTCTTGAGCCTCCAACCATGTGTGCTGTTGGCTTTGCTTGGTGCACCTTTTCCTGCCTTCAAAATTTGCTATGCTCTGGCCAGTGTGGCTCAGTTGGTTGGGCATAATCCAGTGCACCAAAAGGTTGCTGCCTTGATCCCTGGTAGGGGTGTGCAGGAGGCAGTGGATCAATGCCCCTATGTCATCATTGATGTTTCTGTCTCTTTCTCTTTCATTTCCTCCAAAAAATCAATAAAAAAAAAATCTAAAATTTTTTTTGCTGTGCCCACACTTCCTCCAAGAAGCCTTCCTTAACCCCTCAGGCAGAGCTGCTGTGTCCCCACTGCCATGAACACCTCTGTATGTTATTAGTATACTGTAAAGATCTGTCCCCTGCACTAGGCTAAGGGCCAGCCCCACATCTCTCATGGGCATCCAAAGATTCAGGTACACACTCGGCACCCAGTAAGCACTCCCTGAATGAGCTAAGGGACAGAGAGCCAGGTGGTAAGGGAGACATTCAAAGTCTCTAGTTCTTTGCTTTGGGTGAGTGGATCATTAAGCAAACACCAAAAAGTCACCTAATGTCAAACTCTTCTCTTGGAATAAAACTACTAATTTTTCAGGGCCCACTTCCAAGCTTACCCTCAGGAAAGCACCCTGACCCCAGGCCGGGGACAAGACCTTAGTTCTGCTCTCATAAACTTCACGTGTCTTCTTTAGCACACTGATCACTATGGTCACTACTGTGGAATTATTGGTTTAATGCAGGGTTTCTCAACAGTGGCTGTATTTTGGACTGGATGATTCTTTGTTGAGGGAGGCTGCCCTGTACACTGTAGGATGTTTTAGCCACACCACTGACCTCTACTCACTAAATGCAGGTAGCACCCTCTCAATTATGACAGTGTCTCCAGACAATTATCAAATGTCCCCTGGGGATAAAATGACCTCAGGTTGAGAACCACTGGTGTAACTAACATCTGTCTCCCCATTTAGAATGGATGTTCTGTGAGGGTGGTCCAGCTACTGGAGGCCACATTTCCTCAGTACCTCAGCCTGGCATTCACTCCCTGGCCCCTGAACTGTGCACCACCTGAGAATGAGTCAACTTTCCTTTTTAGAAGATTCTCCTCTGTGGGCTAGGATGGCTTGAGGGCAGAGATTGTATCTCTCTGGCTTTTGTACCTGCCAGGCCACCCTGGCTGTACTTTCAGGGTGTCAGGAAATGATCAATGGGGCACAAAGGAAGGATAGGCAGGGGAGCTTCTAAGTCCTGGGAGGTGGCAGGTGCACAGTGATGGTCCTCAACAGGGATGACTTCTATTGGTTTGTGTTTGTTTTCCGGAACTTCAGAATTTATTAGATACCCTGAGGCTGGCCCTGGGGAAAACCTTGGTTGGAAGTGACAGTGAGGAGAGGAGCAGCGTGGGGAAGGTTGAGGGCCCAGACTAAGGGGCCAAAACCAGTCCTGTTGATGCACATCCCTTCCCATTTCGCTCTGGCTCCTCTGGGATTATCACATGGTGAGAATTTGTTTTGAAGACAAGAAGGGCTGCATGGAGGTTTCCAAGGCACACTGGTAGTCCTGCAGTGGGACCTCGGAGCAGGTGGGAGCCGTGAGCTGGCCGCGGTGGATGAGGTCGCACAGAGTGAGGATCAGCTCCTTGAACTGGTCTGTGGGAGGTTGGAGGGAGTCAGACAGGGGTGCAGCAGCAGCAGGGCTTGGGGAGATGGCACATCACCCCTGCTAGTAGGAGCTGGTGCTGTGCTCCAGAAAAGCCTCGAGAGCCCAAGGCTTGGCTTCCCGGTCCCCACCTGTTTTCAGGACAGTGAGAGGCAGGGTGGGGAGAGAAGAACATGGGGAGTGGCCCTAGGAACTGAGGAGCAGGCAGAGTGGTGGCTCAGACCCACAGAACCTGACTGGGGTGTAACCTGGAGTCTGAAGGGAGGGAGGCGCAGGATTACTTCCTGGCAGGGAAGCCAGAAGAGGCACAGAGAGGGAGAAGGGTGTGCCTGGCACACTAACTGATGTGGAACAGATGAGCTTTACTCAGGAAAAGGAGCTCTCCCGAGCCCAGGACTCCCTTGAACCCTAGGAGTTGAGGCCACCACCGTCCCCTCCCACTAAGGACCCAACATGGTTCAGTAAGATAAGAAGTAAAGGCCTTGGCTGAGAAGGGTTTTTTCATAGACCTCAATTCATTCAACATTCACATCTAATCATATCCCCTGCTTAAAACACTTCCATGGCTCCCTAATTGCCTTTAAGATAGAGTCTAAACTCCTTAAAAAGATTTATAAGGCCTTTCATAATGTGGTTACAACCAATCTGTCCAGCTTCCCACTTCCTCTAATGGGCTTTTGCACACGCTTGTTTTTCTAGCTGAAACCCCCCATTCACACCACCACTTTCCTCTCTTTCACTTGGATAGCCCCTCGTCATTCTTCAGTTTCAGGTTGGGGGGCACTCTCTGGGGAGCTGGTCCTCCAGGAGAGGAAGAATGGTGTCCTGGCTCAGGTTCTAGAGTCAGAGAGACTAGCTAGTCACATCCTGGCTGCCCCTCTCCCTAGGTGGGGTGACTTTGAGCAAGCTACTTAACCACTCTGAACCTCAGTTTCCTCTTCTGTCAAACAGGGCTAACAATAGTTTAAACTATTATGACATTTTAACTGAGACAGAGGCTAAGTAACTTGTCCAGGTCCCACAGCTAGGCTAGGCACAGCCTATAACCAGAAAGGCAGAACCCAGGCAGGCTGGTTGCAGAAGTGGTTTTCCTTACCTGGTTGTCTTCCATGGCAGTCTTCCCCACTGCCAGCAACTCAAGGACCAGGGCAATGTGTGCCTTGTTCAATGTTATGCCTCCAAGAACTAGCCCACTTTAGTTCAATAACTATTTGCTAACTGTCGCTGTAGAGGCTGTTTTCCTTTACCCTGTTGTAGGGTTGGGGGTCCAATCACCCATCCACAGCTCAGAGAGGCTGGCCACTTCTGCAGCAGGCACTCCCTCTTGTGTGACCCCTGGCAATGGGTCCACCGTGCACTTACCTGTACTGTGGTCCTTCTTCCACTGGGACAACCAAAAGCCCCGAAGTTTGACATCCTTAAAAATGAGCAGGCTCTGTGGACAAAGGAAGGACATGCTGGGGTTCTGAGGGCAAGAACTTCAGATACCATATATTCTTCCCCTGGAAACAGGGGGACTGCCTGAGTTTACACAATTGTGGTATCTGGGCCCATTTTCAGGCCTGCCTTCCACCAGCTTACCACAGAAGCGATGACGGGCTGCTTGGCCATCCCCCCGTAGGTCACCATGGTTCCTCCAGGCCTGAAGAGTCAGAGAGAACAGAATGGGTACGGGCAGATCCAGCGCCTTTCTGGAACCCACCACAGCACTTCTATTCCAACCCAGACGCCCAAACCTTGCTTTCAGAATCCCTGGGAAGGGTCCAAAATACAGATTCCTAGGTCCTACCCCAGACCTAATGAACCAGGAGGGGGGGGGTCTATATTAAAAACAACAGTCCCCCCTCCAGATGACCTGGATGTTTAGACAGGGATGGGAACCCACTGATCTAACCACCCAGCCAGGCTCTGACCTGAGTTCAGCCTTGCTCTACTCCGTCTATAGTGGATGCGGCACTGATACTGATCCAGATCACCCTCTCCCTCCTACAAGTGACACGGGGCTGCAGTTTGCCCCTGAGATTGCCCGGAGGAGGGCTGAGCCTGGCCCTGCCGCTTCCTAGACCTTGGGTAGGTGATTACACTCTCTGGACCTTGTATAAATGGGGATGGGAACAATACTCCTGGCCTAGGTGGCTGTGGGAGGGGTACCTCAAGCTCTCTGCACAGAGGTCAGTGCACAGTGAACTCTCATTGTTTTCACAGCTCTTTGACCACATGGCCCATCTTCCCATCTGGCCTGTGAGTGCGAGCCATCTCTATACCCTGTAGCTAGAGAGGGCTAGCAAATATGTACTGACTAACACTGTTTAGGGGATTCCTGCTGTAGCTGGGGAGTGTCCTCTCAGGCACACTCCAGCTCCAGTTCCTATTAAACGAAGAAAGAATGGGAGGCCACGCACTGTTAACTTTCCGCGGTGTGTATCCCCCTCGGCAGCAGCATGATAAGCAACTTCTGTACTTTAGTTTTTCCTTTGAACTTTTATATGCTTTCAAAATATTTTGTAATAAGCGTCATGTTACCTCTAAAATGAGAATCTATGTTTAAAAGCTAATAAAAAATTTAAGAGCTAATCAGCTGGGACTAAGTAACTTTTTAAGATGCCCTTAGGTTATGAATCCTCAACCATTCCCCTGGCAGAGAGAGCCTAGCAGTGGGTCCCTTGGAAAAGCAAAGCTGGATGGGCTCTCAGTCACCTTTAATGAAGGTGGCCGAGAAAGGAAGTGCCCAGAGAGCTAGGACATGACTTTGGCCCCAGTTTCCTACTCAGGGTCCTGTTGACCTGGCCTTGGCTTGCACTGGCCTCTGGGACTGGTCACCTGATGGTCGTCCCAGCTCAAGGCCTGGAGAGCACCGGTAAACTGGACCGCAGGGCTGAGGGACTTACGCTAACTGCCGAAGCAGCTCTGTGGAGCTTTTCCCGCCGACACAGTTGAGTGCGAGCCGCGGCTGAGGCATGTCCTGGAACATAAAGAACCTGCAGTGAGGGAGCTACCTCTCTACACGTGCGGTTTGAAGCTGTTACAAACAGCACTTCCCTGGCCCAAGTGTCAGAAGGAGGGAGTAAAGAACACAGGATGTTCTTGCTGTTTTTCCCTTGCCAGGGATAGCCTTTTCTTCACCAACCTCATTGTGTTATCTGTTTGAGAATTTCATCCGGAACTCACCTCATCTGGGAAAGAACAGACAAAGGGTATCTATAGCCCATTTCCAAGGACTTCATTTCCCCAAATGCACCTCTTCTCGGAACTCTGGACTCAGTTTGTATTACATCTACTGCTTCAGAAATGTTCTCAAGTGTTCCTGCTAGAGTGTGTGTGTGTGTGTGTGTTTGGTCCCTCTAGAGTTTAGTGAAATGAGGCTGAGATGTGGTTTGGTCACTTGCTAGGTGTGCTGGGAGTGGAGGTTCTGCAAGGTTTAGAGGCTATGGGTTCAGAGAGACCTGGTGCTAGCCCCGACTCCACCACTTAAGACTGTGTGGTCTTGGTCTAATCCTTTATCTTTTCAGAGTCTGGATTTCTTCATCTATAAAATAGATAGCACCTACTTTGTAGAGTTTTTGTGGGATTCTCAGATAAAACGTAAGGTAAGGCCCTGGCCGGTGTGGCTCAGTTGGCTGGAACGTTGTCCTATGCACCAAAGCGTCTAGGGTTCGATTCCCAGTCAGGGCACATACCCAGGTTGTGGGTTGGATCCTAGGATGGGCTGTGTGCAGGAGGCAACCAATTGATGTTTCTCTCTCACATCGATGCTCCCCCTCCCCCATACCCTCTCCCTTCCTCTCTCTCTAGAATCAATAAAAAACATATCCTCAGGTGAGGATTAAAAAAACCCCCATAAGGTAGGTACTCAGGAAATGTTACTTCTTTCTTTTTCCTCTTTGTGCCTCAGTTTCCTCAGGTCCTCTCCCAGCTCTGAGATTCACATGGGCTGTGTGCACTGATGTGACTCACCACAAATATTCAGAACTGCAAACCACACGGGGTCTCCCAAACCCTGCCGTCTCTCCTGCCTGCCTCGCAGCACCTTCCTGCACGCTGCTCCCTGGCTGAGGGATGGGCTTTTCCTTCCGTGATGAGACGGAGTAGAGATATGAAGAGGAACACGGGAGCTAGTCCCCAGCTTTTCTAGTTCAAGTCACCTTTCTTCCGGGGGGTGAGCATGGAATGGAGGTGCAAAGTCCCTCATCCTAGGTACCTTAAAGATGTTTTTCATCTCAGGCTTCCTTAGTTCCTCTTCTGTGATAACATGCTCGGCCCCCAGATTCTTTAGTCTGTCGGTCAGCTTCTGGATGTCAGGTCTGGAAACCAAACACAATCCTCGGTCACATCTGCTCACTTTCTCTACGAAAGGCTGCTGGGACTGCTCTGCCACAGCTGTGAGGATGTGAGTTTCTTTGTGGGAAGCTGGGGTCGGGTTTAAGCCGGGCCTTGAACAGGGCCTGGCCACCCAGTTTCATCCAGCAACTCTTGGCCTCAGTTTCCTCCTTGGCATGAGAGAGCTGGGCTGGGTAGTTTCCACAGCTCCTGCCAACTCAGGGATGCTACAAACCATCTATGCCTAGGGAGAAGTAATTTCACTTCTTGATTTCTCCTACTGAAATGACAAGTTCCACTTCCTTTCCACCCCCTTCTCTTTTCAAGGGGCTCTTCAGAGTGTTGAGCAAACACACTCCAGCCGAGGAGTGGCTCTGGGACTCTTTGGCAATAATTTTTGTTAGCACAGCCGGGGGGGATAAAGAACTGATGCAAGAATCAATTCTCCTACTAAGAATGGACTTCGACAGACATGCCCACACTGGACAGTGAGGCTTAAGGAAACTGGCTGCTATGAGGGAAAGGGAACAAGTCAGGAAATGAAGCCTGCTACTGACTCCCTGTGACTCCAAACAAGGTGATTCCTCTCTCGGGAACTTCAGTTCCTCATCTGTAAAATGATGAACCTGCCCTGTCTCCTTCAATGTGTATTTAGTGCACTTCAAAGTACCACACAAATACAAAGAACAAAAAGAGCCCTGGGCTAGACAGTTCATAGGAAGAACAGCATAGTGCAAAACATTCCCAAATATGAACTCTGGTTTTGAAAACATGGGGTTATCACAAGTCAAGAGTTTCAAAAACTCCTAGTATTCAGTAATGGCCCACCTCCATCCTGCCCTCCCTTTACATTTCAAATATTCACGCATCCTATAGCCAAAAGCCGCCTGGACTTCACTTCTCATGGTCCATGCGCCCAGCCCAGAGAGGAGGCCTGCTTATGCAAGGGCGCCATCTGGTGGACACACAGGGACGCGAGGTGGAAAGGCCCAAGTCATGATCTGGGATTCCGCCTCCCCACGCACCTGTCTCGGACCACATTGATGGTCCTCAGGCCCAGGGCTGCGGCGATCTGGATGACTGCTTGCCCCACTCCACTGTTGGATGCATTCTGGATGACAGAATCTCCTGTGGAGCCAGGAAGAGACTCAGTTCAAGCCCGCAGACCCGTAACAGGCAAGGGCTTCCAGCCTGAGATCCTACTATATAAGGCAAGAAATGGAGTGCTTAGGCTCAAAAGAGACCTGGGACCTCGCTGCTGAGCCTTCTCAGGCCTTGGAATGCTGCTCACTCTTCTCCCAGTGCCCCCCAAACTTCCACAACACCCATAGCGCCTTCTAAGACTCGGCAACTCAGAGTCTACAGTGGATGTAATTTAGACCCTGCTGTGTGAATGAGTTTACATCCTTCATCACCCTCCAATTTTTATGTCCTCAAGTCTCTGCTTAGGTTATTTCCTTGGTGTGCAATGCTTTCCTCTTCCTTTTTCCCTTCATTGTGAAATCCTATTGAAATTCTTTGAAGCGCAGCTCAAGTGAGGCTTCCTTCACAAAGCCCTTCCAGACTATTCCCTCTGTGTCCCTGCAGCACTTTGCAGGCATCTCTACTAATATACAGGGTCTGCCTCATCATACACATGGTTGTTTATAGGTCCAATACTGCTTAATAAAAGCACGTTGCCTTGAAATGGAACTAGAGCCATACTGGAGAAACTAGAAGTCCCTGAAACAGGGTCCTATAGTTTGTAGTCTAAGCCCAGGCCTAGATTTGGAATTAGTCAATGGGGAGGCAGCATGGCATGTTGGGGAAAATATGGGCTCTGGGACGAGATGGACCTGGGTGTGAGTCCCAGCTTCACCACTGACGGTAACTGAATGAGACAGGGCAAGTCATGATCTCTGTACTTCAGTTTCCTCTCCATAAAACAGGAGCCTATGAGCATCAATCAGGATGCGCCTAATTAGAGTCAATGCTGTCATGTCCAGGAGGGTGCTCCATTACCCCTGAAATGCTATCTGGGTCTTGAAGGATCTGGTGCCAGAGACAGAGGACTTCCTGGAAGAAGAATACCCATTCTCCTTAGCCAGGGTCAGCATGCAAGTTGTCACTCATTAGTGGGTTATGAAATCAATGCAATGGGTTGCAAACAGCATTTTTTTTTGGTTTTGTTAAAATAGAGGAAAATAGAATAAAAAACAGCAGAGTACATCACACATAGTAGGGGTAAATATTGTTTCATGAAACTTTGGTTTCCATTATATATATATATTCATATGTGTCTATGTACTGGATTTCAATGTGGGTCAAGACCTGGTTTTGTCATTTCCTTACCGAATGATCTCATGCAAATAATTAACCTCTCTGGACCTCATTTTCCTCATTTATAAAAAGGAATGGTAATAAAAGCAGTGTGGTTACTGCACTGTATGTCAGGCCCTGTGCTAAGTGTCACATTGCAGTGTTTCAGCTAACCCCCAGAATTCCTATTCTCCATTTGGCAGATAAGAAACCCTGATGATGTGAGAAGTCAGCTCGCACAGTTAGTGCAAGGTGAAGCTGGAGTTCAGTGAAGCTAGGTTGTTAACCTGGGGCTTGAGCTCTTAACCAATGGTACCAACCTCACTGCACTGCTTTGCCAATTTGGTGTTCAATGTGGTAACGCTTGTAAAGGCACGTGTGTGAACTGGAAAGTAATATGTGAATGCCAAGTGGAATTACTAAGTGCAGCATTTTACTGAAAACACAGGCACTGTGTCTATCTTCTCTGGTTTGTGTCCCCAGAGTTTAGCACAGCTCGATCCGTTTTTGCTGAATGACAGGATTCCATCCCAGGCTCTGGGAATGTGATCTTTCAGTGGTTTTCCTGAGTGTATTCTTCATGAGACTTCAGCATCTTTTCTAGGAATCACGCTAACAACTTTCTAAGCAAAAGCAACAACACACTCACCCAGGTTAGAGGCTTATCTTCCTCTCTGGGAAGTTCCCATGGCCTCAGGGTCAGGATTTGGGTCTCACCCTAGTCCAGGGATCCTGGCCTGCTCCTCCCACCTGCAGGTTCCTACCTGGCTGCAGCTGCTCAAAGTCCATCAGCATCCTGTAGGCCGTGCAGGGATTGACACCCAGGGTGGCAGCACTCTGAAGAGGGATGTCACTTGGAATTGTGATCAGTGTTTCTTCGCTGAACACAGCCTCAGTCTGCCAGGTTCCTGAGTCAAGGGATGAGTTCAGGGCAGTGAGGAACCCCTCTCCACACTCAACCCCAGCCCACTCTCCTCAGTAAATGGGCATCTAGGACAGCAGACTTCAAAGAATGCTTAGAGGACAAAGAAAATCTTGAAGTCCTTTTGAATGTCTCTGAGTCCTCATGATAACTAAGTAAGGTGTAGATTTTGTTTTTCCCACATTAGTTACCATTAGATTTAGCTAATGTCACTCAGCAGGTGGCTAAAGATCTCAAACTACTGGACTCTGAGGGTAAGACAGTAACATCATTACCAGGAAGATGAGGGGAAAAAAGCCTTGCCATTCTCTGGGCTTCACCCAGCCTGGTTTTCAAATCTTCATCGTCCTCTCCATAATCATCACTCCCTTCATTTTAGCCGACATTTACATCTACCCTGTGCCGAATGCTTAGTATACGGCTTTTATGTATGAAATCAAGGGCGTCTTCTACCTCCCCTAATGGCATGACAATGGAAATTCAGCCCTTCACGTAGATTTCTGGGGCCTGGCTGTCCCTGATCCTCTTCTCAAGGGGACCTGGGTGGGATGGGGACAGCGCCCACGGTCAGCCCCAAGGGCGTTCAGGGATTTAAAGGAGAAACCCTTAGGCTTTGGAGTTGGAGAGACCGGCTTAACAAGCCAGCTCTGCCACCCACTACTGGTGTGATTTTAAATTCTCACTTCACTTTTTCTGAGTTTCACTTTTCCTGATCTATGAAGTGCAGAGCAACACTCACATCGTAGTATGAAGATTAAACGCGATGGCATTTGTACAGACTATCACTGTGCCCAGTACGTAGAAGGTGTGTAACACCCCTTGGTTCCCCTTACTGGTACTAAGTCCCATGCTCTTGCTCTGAGGACATCCATTCCTCACATGTTCAACTGACCCTTAACCATCTCCATTATCTAATGCAGGATCGGCAAACTATGGTCCATGGGCCAAATCTGGCTCACCACTTGTTTTTGTAAATGAAGTACTGTTGGAACACAGTCACACTTTTTTTGGTATTATTTATGGCTACTTAAAATGGCAGACTTGAGTAGAGGTGGTATGGCTTGCAAAGCCTAAAATATTCACTAATTGGCTATTTAAGAAAAAAGTTTGCCAACCCCTATCTAATGCATACAGAAATTTAGTGTTTGCAAAGATCACTGCTTGTGTTATCTCGGTTGAGCAGAGTAAGAGTTAGCTGAGTTATGCAAGGCAATGACTATTAGCTCCATTTCAGAGATGAGAAAACTGAGGTTCAAAGTAGCTGTGACTTAAAGTCACACAGGGCAGATGGAAGAACCTGCATCTGATTCCCAGGCCCCACTCCTTCTCCTGCCCCATGCTCCCTCAGCAGGGTTTTCAGTGTTTCCCATGACAAAGTCAGTGCGCACATTCTCTGGCCCAGTCTCCCTTGGGACGAGTTGGGTTGCATGTGGAAAAAAGCTGGCTATGGCCACAGCAACAGCTGGGCAGCTCAGCACCATGAAAAATGACCAAGATTTGGCCAGCTGAGGAAAGTCTGCTTGCTGGTTGCCACTCTTACTAAACTATGGTCTTCACTAGAAGAAAGACCATGTCTGCTCACTGCTGTATGCTAAAGCCCAGCATGCTACAGATGTTCACAAAGTGTTTACTGAATAAACTGAGCTAATTATAGTCCTGATAATTAGAAAATCCTCATCCTCTCTGACTGGGACATGGTTTCAAAGACTCGCCTTTTCTCCAGGGAGAAATCCCTGCTCTGGCTACTGCCACCACCACCACCACCCATGCAGTTACCCATACACCTGGCAGATGCCCTTTGTTCTTCTCTCCGAATCTAATTACCAAGCTCTTAAGCCCACCGTCTTCTCCAGGCCTGTGGGGCTGTCTTGCTCAGACACTCATCATCTGCCACCTCCTTCCTGGCTTCCTGCCTCCACGTGGCCTCTGCCTGTCCTGAGCATTCTCTGCACTGCACAGATCTGATCAAATCAGTCCTCTTCTTAACTCTTCATCAGGCCCCCTCTGACGGTGGATGTGAGCCCTCCGTGACTGGGCCCCAGCCTACCTATCCAGACTCACCTGGCTTCTCCATCCCTCCCCTGACCCAGCTAAACCGAGCTACCTGCGGTTCTGCCCGTGCCTTCCCCCACCGCCAGACCTTTGCACGTGCTGCACTCCCTGCCTGGGGGGCCCTTTCTCACCCAGCCTGCTGGCTGCACTTCTGCTCAGTGTTCCAGATGGAGTTCAAGCATCACTTCTCTGGGAAGCCTTTCCTAAAGCTGCCTGATAGGGGACTCTTGCCTTTGCGTCCATCCTGTGATTACAGCACTTATTATACTGCATTGTATTAAGTGTTGTTTTTCTCTTCCCAGCCAAGAACACTTCTCAGGCAGAAACGGTCTGATCCACCATGTGAGCTCTTCACTCAGCAGGGGGCTGGCCCAAAGCACCACTCAGTATCCAGTGAATCCTTGCAGCTCTCACTTTGCTCACAGCTAGGCTTTCACTGCCAGGTGCTATAGGAGAGGGTGAGCCATTTTTGGCAGCTTTCCTGATCTCAGAGAAGCAGAGCTTCTAGTAGACTCCTGTTACTGTGTTTTTTTTTTCCTACCAGACACTTTTTTCTTTCCAGAACCACTCGTTCCTAACTTCTGGGGCTGTCAACCACAAGGCCCACCCTCTATACCATAGAGGTGGGCAAGAGACTCAACTAAGCAGTTGGAGTGGCCCAACCCCATCCCTGGTGATGGGTTCATGGACGGGCAAGGACCCAGGCAGAGTTGGTGACAGCCCTTCTGGGGGATGGATACGGTTGTGCTGAATGGTTTGTGGGAATGTGCTTTTCTGTTTGTTCTCAGGATGATGTAAACTTCAGGCTGCTGGTGGTCATCTATGAAAGGTATATGGCAGAGTGGGTTCGAGTCTTAGCTCTACCACTTATTGTCTAGATGACCCTGGGCAAGTTGCTTCATCCTTTACATTTACTATTGTCTCATCTACAAAATGGGAATAACAGTATTTACTTCATGTGGGAATAATGAGTTAATTATGTGAAGTGCTTAGAACAGTGCCTGGTGCAAAGGGAGTGGTCAATAAATATTTGTTGCTATCACTGTATCACTGTGCAGGGAAATCCCATCTGAGAACTAAGGAGAACAAGAGAAAGGCAGAGCTCTGATATCACTGGGGTTCCTGGATCCAGCTCAGCCTGAAGCTTTCCATCTCCTGCACTTCCCAGTTCCACTCACCAATTAGCTTCTTTTTTCAGGAAAGCAAGTTTAAGTTGACTCTCCGTAAGTTATAACCCATAGAGCCCTAACACTGGCGGGTAGCGGGAAAAACAGAGAAGAGTCTGGTGAGCTCTCCTTGAGTTTGCTTTTTAAGTTTGGGCAAGGGTTTCTTCCTTTCCCTTTCCCTTTCCCTTTCCCTTTCCCTTTCCCTTTCCCTTTCCCTTTCCCTTTCCCTTTCCCTTC